CGTTGGGCCAGATGATATTACCTTGGCTTGGCTTGAAATGAAAGAAACAAATTTGGAAAGTTTTTTGTGTTTTTTTCTTCTTGCTGAGTGAAAAAGGAAATAAAATACAAAAAAAGCAACGAAAAACGACATATTGAAATTTCCTATGAACTTGGAAAAGCACTATGCCGGAATTTATTATAATGATAATAAATTCCAAAATAGTCCTTAAATATTTTGTTTTAAAAATACAAGGAGTGGATATTTTTAAAATATTTTTTTATTATTTATTTATCAGCTGGCTTGTGACAGAACTTTCGCTCCATAAGCCGAGCTTAGAAAAGATTTCCCGGCGTGTCGATCTTTTGCGCAGTTTTTCCTATTTGAAAGACCATTTTCGGCAATGTTGCCTTCGACTTGATCTTTCCATCGTATTCTTGGCCTTCCCCCTTCTGCGTGAACCATCAGCTGGTTCGCTTTTATATGCCATCTGGGCTGGGGGATCTTTATCCATTCTCACAATATGACCTAACCAACGTAGTCGCTGCAGCTCAATACGTCTAACAATGTCGATGTCCGAGAATAGCTGGTACAACTAATGGTTCATTCGACGGCGATATTCACCGTCAACGCAGATCGGCCGATAGATCTTTCGGAGAATTTTTCTCTCAAACACTCCAAGAGCTGCCTCATCTGTTTGCGTAAGTACCATATAACAGCATGGGTAGTGAGTTTGGTCTGGCGTGAGGTAGCCTTGCTTATGAGTTGCTTACTCAGACCATAGTAGCACCGGTTGGCCATCACTACCCTTCTCAGAAATTCAAAAATGATGCCATTCGTGTTATTTATGGCGGTTCAACAGTTGGTCCGAGTCTACTGGACGTCTTGCGCGTTGATACCATCAGCTTGGTCTACTGCCAGACCCACTTTGGCAGACTCTTTCTCAATTTGTTCAAAGGCGGCTGTTACCGCTCGCAATGTTCGACCCATTATATCGATGTCATCGTCGTAGGCGAGTAACTGGTGTTGTTTGCATCTCGTATGACCTTTTCCAGCAGGATGTTAAAAAGGTCACACGACAAACGGTCATCTTGTCTGAATCCTCTTTCGGCATTAAAGGGCTCCGAGAGGTCTCTTCCGCCTTTAACTGCTGATCTTATGCCTGTTAAAGTTGTCCTGAATAGCCGAATTAATTTTGCAGCAACGCCAAACGCATACATGGCTTTATACACCTCTGAACGGATAGGGCTGTTGAATACGGCTTTATAGTCGACGAATAGGTGGAATATGTCGATGTGTTTTTCGTGGGTTTTTTTCAGGTTTTGGCGCAGAGTGAAAATCTGGTCAATGGTGGATTTGCCAGGTCTGAAGCGACATTGCTATGGTCCAATAATGTCATTGACCATTGGCTTCACACAGTACGCTGGATAGCACTATATATGCGATGGAAATGAGACTTATTCCTTTATAGTTGGCACATAACCGTCTTGTCTCCTTTTTTGTGCACGGTACGCAGGATGCTAAGGTTCCAATCATTGGGCATGCATTCCTCTAGCCAAATTGTACCTTACCACCACCTTACCACCAGTCTTGAATAGTTCGGATTGTAACCAATCGACACCTGCTGCTTTATTATTCTTTAGTCGGTTGATTTCTATTCTGATTTAATCGTGGCTAGGTGGTATACACTCTATACCGTCATCTATTATTGGTTCTGGGGCATCCACTTCACTGCTACTATTTGATACAAGAAATTTGTCAAAATGCTCCTTCCAAATCCTCAGCACGCTGTCTATATATGTCACCAGGTTTCCTTTTTTATCTCTACAGGAGGATGTGCCTGCACCAAAGCCTTCGGCTTGGTGTTTTACCCGTTGGTAGAATTTTCGGACTTCATTCTGACTCCTGTACATCTCGATTTGCTCACGCTCACGCTCACGTTTTTCTTGTTTTTTTTTTTCTTTTTTCTGAAAATATGTTTCTCCTCTCTCCTTTTCTCCCGATAATTCTCCGTCGCATTACGTGTTGCTACTGTCCGCAGGGTTGCCCTATACGCTGCGTTTTTCATATCAGTAGCATTGCGACACTCCTGATCGTACCACGGATTTCCAAAGACCACCGTCAAGGTCTTTGGTACCCAAGAGTTGATTTTTCTGCAGTTTGTAGGGAGTGGGCAATTCATTGTCATTGTGCTTCTATACTCTTATCGGGACAAGGGCTGCTTTCGTCAAGCAGTTGGGTAAGTTGAGCGGAGTAGGCTTCTGCTCGATGTCATCAGCGTAGGCGAGTAACATGTGTTGTTTGGTCTACAGAGTGACCTTTTCCAGCTAGATGTTAAAAAGGTCACACGACAAACTATCACCTTGTCTGAATCCTCGTTCGGTATTAAAGGGTTCCGAGAGGACCTTTGCTACATTAACACGGATGCGTACCTTGGCTGCCACAAGGTAATGGTCCGAATCGATATTCGCTCCCCGGATCGATCGGACCTCTAAAACACTGGATGAATGCCTTCCGTTTATCCCAACTTGATAGATTTGATTTCTCGTTGTTCGACCGGGAGAAATCCAAGTGGCCTTGTGTATATCGAGATGCTTGAATCTAGTGCTGCTAACTATCATTTCTGATGTTTCTTCATGGAGGCTGAATTTTCCGACGGCGGGGCCAAAGATATTTTCCCTTCCGATGTTTGCATTAAAATCTCCTAGCAGAATTTTAATGTCATGGCCAGGGCAGCGACCATATGCTGTTTCTAGGCGCTCGTAAAATATGTCTTTGGTCTGTTGATCTTTATCTTTGATCGGAGCATGGGCGCAAATGCGACTGATGTAGAAGAACTTCGCTTTTATGCGGATTATAGCAATTCGTTCATCTACTGGAGTGAATCTGGAGACGAGGTCTTTAATTCTCCAGTTAACCGCAGCCAAATTCATGTCTCGTTTCATGGCAGCTATAATACAGGGCGTAATTATCTAATTTACTTACGTCAGTCCCTTTCCATCGCATTTCCTGTAAGGCAATAATATCGGCTTTGTACTTCTTGAGTACATCCGCCAAAACGAACACAGCGCCTGTTCTGTACAACGTGCGCACATTCCAAGTGCAGATTCGCAGATCGTGGTCCTTTATACGTTTGCGGGGATCGTCAACATTAGGTGGGTTTGGTTTTCTTTTCTTTGCTTTTTCATAGTAGGTCGGGTTTTCCGAGAGTGGGCCACTAACCCGACGCCTCAACCCATTTTTATAGTTCTTATGGGTGAACTCGCGGCACATATTAGCTCACTATTGGGTGATGAAAATAGCTCCCCAGGTGGCACCGCGGGGAGGTTAGCGTCCACAATTGAGATGAAAGAGAGACCAAGATAATCCTGGACTTTGCCATGTTAAAGCTAATCAGAGCCATTGCTTGGTATCTATCATCCCCTACGGTACTATATATGTATGAATTTTTTAAAAATATTTTCAAGGCCCATATATAGGCGTGGATTTGCTTATAATATTTTTTGAAGATTTTTTTATATATTTTTACAAGCAGTAAATATAGGCGTGATTTTTTAAATATTTTTAAAAAAAATATATGTTAATATATATATATCCATTTTTAAATATTTTCCCATTCAGGGAAAATAATTTGAATATTCTTGAATACACTCCTTCTATAAATAACCATTTTTATATAGGCCAAAAACTATACAAAAAATTTTAATTAAAATAAAACCCATTTGTATTAAAGTAAGATGATTTCAATATTTCATAACTCAAAAAAACCACATTGGTTTGTTTTTTTTTCATGTAAGCCAATTCGTATGCATCACTTAAATAGTGAAACAGAGATATATGATATGTATGTAGATACCTTACATATGGATATCCCTACCAACATTTTTGTTGGTTGGAGAAAGCCAAACCCACACAAAGCTACAATATTTCAAAAACAATAAACAAATAAAAAATATTATTTTTTATGAAATGTAATAAAGCCAGTTTCCAATTGTATGGATCCTGATTACTTTTTCTTTTGAATTTGTATGTAATAATTTTTAGTTGTTTTATTTTTTTCTCGTTTTCATTAAAGCTCTGAGGTTGCATTTCTTTTTTCTGCCAAAAACCAGAAGAAAACAAAAAAACAACAGCCAACCAACCCATCAAATAAATGAAATGAACGTTTGTGTTCAGCCGCAAAAATGAATTCACGAGTATTACACAAATCCACAAAGCATTCAGTATTTGGTCTGATGAAATTTTCACTGGTTGTTGATGGCTGTCGGATCCCTTTTTTACCGAAACATACAAAAACAACAACAGCAAAACAATTGCGGTAAATGTAATTTACCAAAATTGCATGGTTTCGTTTGGAAATTATTTTCGAATAAAAACAAAGATAAAAAACAACAACATCGGAAACAGATGTATTTTTTTTTTATTTCAAATAGAGAATAGCCAACACCTTAGGATTAAATGGTGTGAGTGAATTGGTTTGAATATTGAATACTACAGAGTTTTTTAAAACCGGAAAATATTCTTTAAAAAATCCACGCTTTTTTGAGACCTTGAAAAAACATTCTTAAAAAATCCTCGCTTGTTAGAGCCCTTAAAATATTACTAAAAAAAATCCACGCCTTGAAAAAATATTCGATAAAAAATGGAGTCCTTGAAAAAATATTCGTTGTTTGAGTCATTGAAAAAATATTCGTTGTTTGAGTCCTGGGAAAAAGTCCTTGAAAAAATCTCTTAAAAAGCCAAGCTTACCTGAGTCCTTAAAAAAATCTTGTTAAAAATCCGCGGTTGTTTGAGTACTTGAAAAAATATTTCATCGGTTTTTTTTTCTTCAAAGTATTTCCACTTTGTAGTTTATAACAAAATTACCTCGAAAACTGTTTTAAAATATTTTCAAATAACAATTGTCAAATTTTTCTACGAAGTTTCATATTTTAAATTTTTTTACCAAAAAAAAATATTTTGAAAAAATAACTTTTTTATTAATTTGTAGTTTGTATATTTCGTGAGTTTTGTAATATCCCATGGCTTTGTTAACACGTTGTGGGCTTCTTAACGTTAGAACAAAAAACCTTGCACAAATACGCCATTATGCCTCCCAAGCCATCAATCAAATGATCCAGTTGCAGCACACAGAAATCTGTGCTGATCCCCCCTCGAGGGGCTTGGTTTTGGGTGTCTATGCCGAGGAGGATGATAAAAATGATACGGGAATTTTAACACCAGCTGCCTGGAGATATAATGTTCAAAAAACCGCTGGACGTCTGTTGGAAGTTTTACGTATGTCTGGTCCCATGCCCAAGGTGGGAGAAGCTCGTTTACTTTTTGCTCAGGAAACCGAAAAGATACCCTATTATTCAGCTGTGGCCATGATTGGCTTGGGTAAAGAATGTTTGGGTTTCAATGCCTACGAAGTGTTGGATGAGCAAAAAGAGGCCATCAGAAGATCGGTGGCCAAGGCCTGCATGGATTTGGCTCTATTGGATACGGATCGTATTGAGGTTGAGAATTGTGGCCATGCTGAATCGGCAGCTGAGGGTGCTGCCTTGGGTGTTTGGGCCTATCAAGAGCTGAGGGATGCCAAAAAGCGTTTGGCTGTCCCATCCATTGATCTATACACCCACAAGGATGAAGTGTGTGACATAGAAGGTTGGCGTATTGGTCTACAAAAAGCAGCAGCCCAAAATTTGGCAAGACAATTACAGGAAATGCCTTCTAATATTTTAACACCCACAGCATTTGCCCAGAATGTGGTGGAGGTTCTGTGCAAGTCGGGTGTAAATGTTGAAGTTAAGGTTGAGGGATGGGCCGAAAGTCAAATGATGAATGCGTTTTTGTCGGTGGGTAAGGCTTCATGTGAACCTCCAATATTTTTGGAGTTAAGTTATTATGGCACCTCCTCGGAGGAGAGGCCAATTGTTTTGGTGGGCCAGGGTTTAACATATGACTGTGGTGGCCTTTGCCTAAAGGATAAGCAAGACCTTTTCGAAATGAGAGGAGATGTGACAGGGGCGGCGGTTGTGGTGGCCGCCTGTCGAGCCATTGCCAATCTACGATTACCCGTAAGTAAAAGAATCAACATAGTCCTATTAAATAAATTATAATATTGATTATTATTTTCAATTGAAATAATAATCTCCAAAGGTCAATATACGAGGTCTCATACCGGTTTGTGAAAATGTCATTGGCTGTAATGCCTTTCGTCCGGGCGACACTGTGAAGACCATGAATGGCAAACATATCAAAATTCAGGGAACTGACCATGAAGATGTTCTGGTGCTGGCCGATACTTTGCTATATGCTCAAAATTTCTGTCCTAAAACAATCATTTCGGTGGGCACAACATCGCGTGCCATGCATCAGACATTGGGTGAGGCGGCAAGTGGTGTCTTCACCAATTCCGAAATTTTATGGCAACAAATTAAGCATGCTAGCATGCATACCGGTGATAGGGTATGGCGTATGCCTTTGTGGTGGTATTTTACCAGTGAAATAACTGCAGGCGCTTCATCGGATGTACAGAATTATGGTGTCGGTACTGGTGGTAGACCGTGCAAGGCGGCAGCTTTTCTCAAAGAATTTGTACCCTGTGGACAGTGGATGCATATTGTAAGTTAAGGGAAAGAAGCCATAATAAATGTGGGTCGGAGTCTATTTTTCTAGCGCTCCAATTCGCCTACAATATCTCCATTATGAAAATTAACTTATAATGATGTATTTTTTTATTTCCAGGATGCAACAAATGTCATGACCACAAATGGCCGAAACTTTGAATATTTACGTCGTGGCATGGCTGGCCGGCCCACAAGGACTCTAATTGAATTTATAGCTCAGAGCATTTGTAAAGATACCGCACCCAAAATGCCACGGAAGGGAAAGTAATTTTAGTTCGTTTTTTTATATTTGTACTAATGGATTGATTGTTTGCCTATTTTTTTGATTATGTTTGTCTTAAATTTATTGTGTGATAATTTTTGTATTGTTTTTTCTAAATGTTAGTTTTTAATAAATGATAATTCCTTCATAATTTCGGTATTTTGAAGATTTCAGCCAAATTTTTGAACGAAGTTTGTCATTTATTTAGACATGTAAAGCGGTGTTAGTCCATGTTTTGAAATAGTCCTTATATAAATACCAGTCCGTTTTAGATCCTAAAAACATTTTCAGCAATAGAAGAGGCTGTAATTTGGTACTTCGATTCTCAGAAGGTTTAATTCTTTATTGAAGAGACATATAGGTCCTCAATATTATTATACCAGACACTACTAAGAAATCCTACGACAATCGGATCTACGATCTGGAACGACCCGAGTTCAACTCTGCTAAACCCTTAGCCGAGTCAACTCAGCGACAGCTATACGAAAAGAAAGTTTTTTTTTCACAGAAAAGAACTTTCACCTGCCGTCAACCAGTTACAACAACAGCAAATCGAATATCCTTTAAACATGGATATTCTTATGGGTCTCATCTTTGGACTTGATCTAGCCAAGGTAAAAATATTATGATGAGCAAAGTTTGGATTAACTCAGACTTTCTATCCGTCTTATATTGAATTAAGAAATTTCCAACATATTGTCACTGTGTGTTGGAGGTACTAAAAGGAGTGTAACGTTGGGCCCCATCTGCGGCCCTGATATAGTATTGGTAAACATATTACGATAACTAAAGTTTGGAGGAAATTTGGATACTCCGTTCGCTTCATATAAGTTTTAAAAAGTTTCAAAATATTAATCCATTTTGGGGTAGGTATTAGAAGCAATGCTCCGATATGTCTTATCTTCCAACAATATACAGGCTTGGTAAACATATTAGGTTGTACAAAGTTTGGATCAAATCGCTATCTATCCGATTTGATCCAAACTTTGTACAACCTAATATGTTTACCAAGCCTGTATATTGTTGGAAGATAAGACATATCGGAGCATTGCTTCTAATACCTACCCCAAAATGGATTAATATTTTGAAACTTTTCGCACGATATTATTAAATTATTTTTCAGCAACATTTTCATGGTACCTGAAAGAGTGGACCAATATTCCCCATCATCGAATTTAAACTATGTATGGAAGAAATATTACCATGTGCAATGTTTGAATGAAATCAATTACTCCCTTGCAGAGGTATCGTGCGCACCAGCCAGCTAGACGGACGGACATCTGTAAATTGAATCCAAATTTGTGTGAAACATGGGGTCTAAAAAATATTTCTATGGAACACATTTGTATATACCCTCATTAGCCATAAAACTGAGCGTATAAAATTCCACCCTTGCAGGTCTACTTTTTCATGAAAAAAAAACAAGCATATAGTTCTATTTGCCTCTGAAAAAATCATTAGAAAATGGGAACTTATAGATAAGCTTGTTCTGGAAAAATATTCATTAAAAAGCTTAGTTTATTATTAAAATTATTATTATTATTTTTTTGAGTAGCTGAATACTGAAGAACAATTTCTATAATTACTTAATATTTTACTTTATTGTTTTTGTAAGTCAATTCAGAGTAGTTCTTATTCAATTGATTTTTATCTATTACTTTTAATGAATAATTATGGAGCTTGAACAAATGTAACATGAAAAGAAATACTAGTGTTTAAAATTTATATTTTTAATTTGGTCTAAGTTTATTTTGTAGTATACTGGCCATATAAGGCTTTTTGGCTTGGCTTTGAAATGAATAAATAAATAATAGTAATAATAAAAAAATATTGTATAAAAATATAGCTTTTTTAGCTATGATTGCCCTTGAAAAATTCTTTTAAAGGGTCCTTCCTGCTCTTAAAATATTTTATTTAAAAAACTTATAGCTCAGATTGTCCATGAACAATTTCGTTTAAAAATCCATGGGTATAAGCTTTAAAAATTTGTTTTTAAAAATTAATGCTTTTAAATCAATGCGAAAAGTCTCTGATTTGCTTGTCTTTACACAACATTTTTAAAAATCTATGAAAAAATTTCGTTAAAAATTCAAACTTCGAGCAGAGCATGTTCTAGAAACATATTCCTTAAATATCTGAGTTTATTATTATTGGAATTTTTATTTTTTTTAAAGATCCACCTTTTAAGTTTAGCTCGACCTTGAATAATGCCGTAGAGCTTTAAAAATCTAAATACTCTTGAGACCGATCTACATATTCATGCAGAATACTGTTTAAAAACACACACACACATACAGCTCAATTTGTCCTTAAAAAAGTTGTTTAAAATCCAAGCTGATAGCAGAACTTGCCATTCAAAACATCTAATTAAAAATTCTAGACTTCTAAGCTAACCTAGGCTTTAAAAAAGTAGCAACATATTTCTTAAAAAATACTTTTAGAAAAATCCACGTTAATCCTTTAAAAACCTTGGATGTGTCAAAAATAGTTTTACCTCCATTATCAATAAATATTTCTCGAAGATTAGGCTGACAGAAACCCAGCAATTCCATTGGCTACACATAAATCAAATTATATAAACGGGAGTCATCGGAGACAGCATTCAATCTGAATATCCGTACGAACATTATTGGGCATCTTACCTATTAAAGTAATGTGTATAATATTATTAACAATTTTATTTAATTTTAAAGATAGACTTACCTTTAGATAATAACACCACACACATCAACAGTGTCACTGATGTTTCCACGACAGAGGGGTCTACGATCCGAAATGACATACTCGGCCAACGTCACCTCAGCCCATTGTGTAAAAGCAATAGGGCTGTTACAACAACAGTGCCACTGATGCTCCCATTGAAACGAAACATTAGGTTAACTGAATTCGATTTCTAATCGATTACATTGGAAACTTATTGCACTTCACAAATTTATAATGTTTTATACAAATTTATTTTCAACTTTTAGTTATTTGAAACTTTTTAATAATCACAATTTTCGCGACACAAATACCGTTTCATATCGTTTCCAAACGTCAACTAGTTGCAAATATAAACAATTGCGCAGTTGTATTAATGGTTTAAAGCAGTGTTGGGCAAAATTAAATTGAGAGCAAGTGTGTGCGAGCGTAACTGAGAATTCACCATTAACAACGACTGACATAAAGAGAGAAAAAGAGAACATGTGTTTACCCATCGACCCTCAGTTACGGTAGCGTATATGGGTAAGCATGCCTGGTTTAAAGGATTAGGTTCTAAATCAGGCATGCTTACCCATATACGCTACCGTAACTGAGGGTCGATGGGTAAACACATGTTCTCTTTTTCTCTCTTTATGTCAGTCGTTGTTAATGGTGAATTCTCAGTTACGCTCGCACACACTTGCTCTCAATTTAATTCACTAATGCACAAAATAGTACTATAGCGGTGATTGCCAAACACGTTTTCTCTTTGTCTCTCTTTGCGTCAGACATTTTTGTTGATGATCTCTCAGTTACGCTCTCACACACTTACTCTTAATTTAGTTCTGTTCAACTCTGATTTAATTTTGCCCAACACTGTTCTAAATTATAGCATTTCTCTCTTTTATAGCTGGGGACCTACTGTTTTAAATGAAATATAGATGGCCATATTACTTTGTATAATTTAATAGAGCGATCTTAAATTCTATAAGTCATTGCATACTTTTAGGCACTGATTTGGTTCTAAAATAGTTCACAAACAATACAACTGTTCATTTGTTTACATTTTACATCAGTTGAAATTTATTTCTGATTCAAAAAGATTGGTTTGCAGCTTGGACTGTTGAAATATAATAAATTTCTTCGAAAAAATAAACGAAATAAAGAGAAGAATAAAATTAAATTAAAGAGGATAATAAAGATACATAGAAAGCGTTGAAATAAAGTGGAAAGGCTTGGTCGCAGTGCCTGAAACTTCGCTGCCACTCAGGAGACTGTAGTAAACATTCCAAATCTGTACACTCCATGGCATTTTCAAGAATTGGGAATCGTTCAGAATACTATAAAGTATTTTACTTAAGAATCATGGATTCCACTGTCCCAATAATGACCACGGTACGAAGCAACATAGGTTGGCTGTTCTGAAGTCCTTGCTGTCTATCAAGAGTCCGCAACAAAAAAAGTCTGTCAATCCCACGGCATTTCCAAGATTTGGCATCGCTCAGATGTCAATCCAGTTAATACGTCCTTACTTGAAAATCCTTTATAATATGGTCCAGTGAAACCCATATAAAGTTATTACATTTTGAGGTGTATTCTTTTCACTCGCCACCGGGCGTGGTTGTATCTGTAAGCTGCAAGTAAAGGTACGTTTTTAAGGTCATTACAAGAAGCTTAACCTCAATATGATTCTTTTGTAATTATAGGTAGCCCATGAACTCAAAACTGTTGATAACAAAATTACAATAACTTGGAAAACCAGAATCAAAGTAATCTGAATTCGTACTTATCATTATGTATGTACGAAACAAATGTAATTAAAAAGCCCAACGGGACACGCCCATCAAAGACAATACATGCCCCATAATATCAAAATACCAACTTTAAAGAAAGACTTCGGTAAGTGACCAAGCTTTATTTCAAATTCTCACCTATGGATCTATCGTGATTTACACTTTTTTAACAATTTTTTTCTACTGTGTATTTCATTGCTTAATCTGGATCTGCTTCCAATTACGGGTTCACAAAACGCAAGGGACCAATCTTTATTTCTTCTCACCTATGGATCTATCGTGATCTACACTTTTTGTTGTAACAATTTGTTTCTACTGTGTATTTCTTTGCTTAATCTGGATCTGCTTCCAATTACGGGGTCAAAAGCACAGTTACCTGTATAGGCTGTGTCCATAGTAAAGATGTTGTTTGTTTGTGGACAAACAACATCCTGGTGGATGTGTCGCGGAGGTGGATCTGACATCACTGTTTGATGGTTAGGATGACACGGCAGATAGCATACCAGTAGGAACTATCTAGTCAACAACACA